TTAGAAAATAATCAATAACTGCTCACTTATTTGGAAATACAAACTTTACATCTCTTAGATCGTTAGATTAAACAATCCACAATGGAATTGTCGCATGGTAGCATGCGAGGTTATGAGATGTTACTCATTCTTTTTCTTATAGTCTATCCCTTATGGTTGCAATGGAATGAGCTATCCTTTGATGCAGAGTCTGAGTTTCCTCTCATTATCTTCATCGGTTTCCTTCCCCTTATTGCAACTTAATTCCCTTGGATTCGCTCCAAGCAATCCCCTTGTCAACCTGCTGGATCGCTCGTAAGCAATCCCCTTGTTCTTTATCCTGTCGTGGATCGAATCGATGAGGACCTATCTTGATTCGCTCGAAAGCAATCCTCCTCTCTTTCCTATTGACGATCGTATCTCAATGAGGATCCTTTTATCTATTACGATCAATCGATCGCTGCAGGAGCCACTACTGTTATACTGTTACTGTTACTGCTCCTACTACTGTATCTCTTATCACCGGCAGAGCCTTATTGCCTCATCTCCGAGTCGATCGCGATAACAGAGGTCGCGATCGAGTTAACAAAATTCATCAAAAAATGGATATCAACTGCATATCGAAGGCTCGGCTTGTGTGTCATGCCTTGAGTCCATGCTTGTGTTATACTTCCTCGAGTTCACCCTCTATTATCGGTTCAAACTACCTGAGTCATGCTTCACGTGAATTTCCTCACTTTTTCATTAACTCGACGTACGTAAAGAACAACAACAATAACATGGAGCGATCGATCGCTCGCGTCTGCTTCGTGTTGTCAGTCTGCTTACCCAGGACCAGCATTGGTCGTTTGGTGTGGCTTGCAGCGAACTACTGGCTTGCAGTTTGTCGTTTGAAAGATTGTACGGAGCATTCGTTCGATCCGTACGAGAGATCGCGATGGCGATCGATCATTCAAACGACCGATTCGCTAGCTCGTGGCATTCAAACAGTTGGCTGTTTGAAGGATTCAAACAACTCGAAGGATCCAACAACACTCATAAATTCCAACTTCGATTGACTCGATTGACTGGATATCCACCGCGCTGCTCTTGTTATCCACCGCGCTGCTGCTCTTGTTGCCGCTCTTGTTGCCGCTGCCATTGCTCCTCTCTTGTTGATTCTCACTTGATGGACCTTGACGACGCTTCCTCTGATTTCAGCATCCTCATCTTCTACAACTCCCATCAGCAACAGCGGCACCAGCACCACATCCTTGTTCAGTCACAAGGCTTCAGACAAGCTTCTTTGAATCTGATCCAATCATCCCACCATCTGATCCTCAACCATGACTGCAGCACCATTGACCGCAGTCAATTCCAGGAGCTCCCCAGCACATTGGGAAAACCAAAGAAAAACCAAGCTTACAGAAGCCCCTCGGCTTGAGGTATCAACCACACTGGAGCTGGACAGGATCTGGCTCAGATGGACTGGAAGGAACCTTATAGAATAAGCCTGCTAATTGTAAAGCTGTAAAGCTGAATTGTAAGCTGTATCCCGTCGCAGTCCATACTTTCGCGCTGGTGGTGATTGTGTTGTGCGAGCGAAGTAGAAGTCGCGATCAATGTCTGGAACAAAAGTTTTATTTTTGAGCTTTTGCGCGATATAGGGCTGATAGTTTGCTGTGTCATTGTTGAGGAAGTCCAAGTTCCCGTAGGCTTCCATGTGAGCTTGCTTGACAAACATCTGGTAAAGTGGAGTAATGAAATCGATGTACTCGTCCCTTTGATCATTGGTGACGTAGTTTTGAATGGCCACAAACTCCGCATTGGACACCTGTTTGAACCCACGCGCCATGTTTTCCCACCTGTTCACAATGTAGAAGGGCCAAGGGCTAGTCCCCTGGCCTGCCGTCTCAGCTTGTGTTGCGACATTGTCAGCAAAGCTGCGTAGAGAGCGTCGAAGAGTAGACTGGAACTCAACAGCAGCATCTGCGACTGTGGTGGAAAACTGAGCGTAGACTGTGCGGAAGGTTTGATCCTCTCGTTCCACAAGCAGGAAATAGGTGGAGGTGGTGACCGCAATAGCAGTCACCAGGAGCGCAATCGAAACAACAATCCGCCACATCCTGATACGAGCTGTCTCCTCGGCCGACTGCTCTCGAATCTTCATGACCTCATCTTCATGAAATTCCATAGGTGTAGCTACAGTCGCCTCCACCATTTCTTCCACAACCAGTGTAGCTTCCACCAGGTTCAGGCCAGTGTCTGCTGAGGATGACGCTTCTTGTGCTTCTCGGTTCATAGTCATCAAGGGCGCCTCTTCTGGCAATGGATCTTTCTGTGGGGAGAGCTGATAACTCTGAGCAGTAGTAGCATCGACATCAGCATGAATAGTGGCCTTGTCGACCCAAGAACAACTCGCATTGGCAGCCTGATTGGCAGCCTTTGCTTCTTCGGTTCCCTTTAGTCCCAACTGAACAGCTTTGCTTGGAACAGTGGAGGTGGCAACTGAAGCACTAGCAATACCGATTGCAGCGGCACGTTCTTCAGCCATTTGCTGTACACTACCGCTTAACCTTGGGGAAGGCTCCTTGTCACTGGTAGTTGTATCGACACCAGCAGTTGCCTGGTCTTCCTCAGATCTTTTGAGAACCGGCGTAGTTGTGTTTGCTGTAAGAGCAAGCTTGGTCTCATTTTCCATTCCTCTAGCTGCCGCGCGCGCTTCCTTGGCATTCTGCTGTCTTTGTTGGCTCCTTGCCAAGACGGCTCCAGGAAGGCTCGTACTAACGCCAGAAGTTCCAGCAGAACTTGTACGTCCCATGCTCGCTCTAGCGGCTTCTTTAGCAGCGCGTTCTTCGGCCATTCGCTGTACACTGCCGCTTAACGTTGGGGAAGGCTCCTTGTCACTGGCCATTGTGAAGGCACCAGCTTGACTCACAACGCCGAACACATTGTCCTTTGGTTCTTTGATCATGGATTTGGGGTCTTCGCCATTCATATTTGTGGTTGGTCGTTGTGTTACCTTTAGAAAACAATCTCTCTTGGTAGAAGCTCTAACAGAGGAGGAAGGGGGATAGAAGAGATCAGGTCTTATAAAGGGACTATTGGAATAGGATGCTGATGAGAGAGTTGCTTGAATATTCCTTTGAGTGTTGATCCAGTTTTCCGCTCTGCTTGTGTTGTTGTGGTCTCCTCGATCGAGTGTGTTGTTCTTCAAAAAGTGAAGGCGGGTTATGCTCGTCCGTCCCAGTGCGGCGCTGTTGCTTTGTGATGGACAACCCGTTCACATATTGTATGCAGCCATCCCTGAACTGGTACACTGGCATCAATGGCTCACCGGCACAGATGTGTCTTTCCTATGACAGTCACCAGTCAGTCATCAGGGGCAATAGTATTGACCACTAAAACCGTTTATGACCGTCCGGGAGTATCGGTACCGGTACACTCGTACATAACTGGACTAATATAGTATTAATAGCTGATTCGATATTCTAAGTCCTTTCAATAACATGGAGCAGTAGTACATAAGATGTGTCTTTCCTTTGACCGTCACCAGTCAGTCATCAGGGGCAATAGTCGATTATTGGAAAAGCTATGAAACAATTGAGTATGTTTAGATCTAGCTAGCTAGTAGTCTACTGGAAGGGATTGAAATACTAAAAGTACATGTACCGATACCGGTACCGGTACGCATCATAAAGAACAGCGTTTGGTACTTTGGTACTGTACCGGTACCAGATTTGTCGACCCACCATTCGTCGACGCTCGCGGAACCAACCAACAAAATTCGCAACCGAGTGACTTAGAAGAGGTGTTACGCTAGGGCAATTGTATTTTTATCAACCCACCTTACATGTCACTTCACAGACGATAAAGCCTTCAATTGACCTGTCGATGACGAATGACAGTAGGCATCTATTCGACTTCCAATCGATCAGATTCGATTCGTAATCATTCGAATAGATACATTAATTAAGGTGGGGGCTTTCAGCTATTGAAATATCCGGACATCCGGAATGTAAGAATCTTTTGGGAACGTTTCGGAAAAGCTGTCAACGGATGACACCTGTTCTCGCTGCTTGCCCTTCTCCACCAGCTCAAAGAGAAAACAAGATCCAACAGACTAGACAGATCATACTAGTAATATATATCTATTGATTTTTACCATCCTCTCCACCATGAAGTCAACAGTGCTTCTTATTGCTGTGCTCGTGCTGATGATCTCGGGATGCCATGGTCTGTCGCTGGAGCCGAAGACATCAGCCTCAAGAATCAACAAAGTGAGATTTTCTCCTCAAAATCCAGGGCTATCGCCAAATACGTTCCTCTATCCATTCTCCACGAGATCATCATCATCATTAGCCGTCTTGTTCTCCTCCTCTCAAGATGACTCCTTGTCGCCGCAACACAAACCGTCGTTCTTTCGTCGCTTGCTTCGGTGCAAGCTGGTTGCTACAATCTGCTTGAGCTTGCTCTTGTTGTTCGGAAACCCATTGTCGGCTTTGGCACAACCAGGAAAGTACGATGTGAGCTTTTGGACTCCAGAAATGGATTCTGCTACAACAACAGTGGTATCAACACCCAAGTTGGATGGCTGTATGGCAATCTCGTTGGATAGTCCCATTCTTTCCAATACTCTGTCTCGATGGGATCCATCCTCGTTTTCTCCCCCACCATCACGGCCGTCAGCTCCCATCATCATGACGGTGCCGCGTAAAATCCCCACTGTCAAACTTGCCATGGCATCCACCATGGTGGTCTTGGCTGTTTTGATGGGAAAAGAAGATGTGGCCATTCGATTGCGTCAAAGAGCCAGCAACAGCAAAGAAGAAGCAATGACACAAGAAAAGACACAAACAAGCACGTGGACAGCATACCGAATGGCCGTCAAGGCCGCGCGACAACGGGCCGTAGCAATGTTTCTCATGAGATCAAAGCAATGGAGAGAAAAGTTTCGAGCAAACCAGAAAGCAAAAGATAAGAATGATCTGCAAGCATCACACGGCAATACCCCAGAATCTCCTCCTCCTAAAACAGAAATTGACACTACTATGGGTGATGCGTTGCTACTCACGAATACTCACCAGGACAAAGCTGCTGCCGTCAAGAGGAATCAAACTGTCGTCCATGATGAGGCACTGGCTCACCAACAAGAATTGGAAGAAGCCTTTTCAAAAATCATCATGGACCAGCAAAAACTGGATGAAGATCACCGCAATTACACCGACTCCAATCTACCACAACAATCGACTTTGTATGGGCTTCGTCGCAGTGGTCATGGCGAGCGATCCAGACAAACGATCCAAAGGGCAAAACCTACCGTGTACCGAAGGAAAGCTCCTGGATGGCTGGGATTGCAACGATCGACTTCACGGAACAGCACCAACACCAACAACCACCGCCGCAACTAACTGAAGCCAACCACCAAACTATCCTTCTATAACCCCTCCCCCACAATTTCATGACACAAGACAAATGAAGAACAATGCACCGCTGTAACTGATACAAACCATACTATCCTCCTAAAAAGTATATACATGTAATGAACCCCTCCAAGGTGTCATTAACCCCTCCAAGATTCATGACACGACACAAGACAGCAAGAGAGAGAATGAATGAAGAACAATAATGCATAAGATAGATAGGCAGACAACAACAACAACACTCATCATAAGCTTGTATGGAACAAACAAGCAATGCTACGGTAACGATAGAAAAACTATACACAACAACGACCAGTACCGGTAGAGAATCAGTAATCACTTATCAATAAATAAAATTATGAAACACCAAGTGGGGTGTGAATTGGTGTTGTGAATGAGTATTTCTTTCAGGAGACTGCCAAGAACGTTCCTGTTCGGCGCTCGCTTTGATTGTGGTTTGTTTGTTTTTTGTCTATAGCCTGGTGTCCAATACAATGTTTCCTGCATCACATCAATAGGTCATTTTCAAAAGAGCCCTCTTAAAAATTCTGTACACAAGGGGCTTCTTGCTTGTTTCGTTGCCTACGCCAACTCCCACCACGACGTCTGGTGCTCGGGATCACGAGTACGAGAACACGGATACATGGCCATGACTTCTCCTGCCTTGGGGTGATGGGCCTGGTTAAAGCAATACCTCGTGGACGTCTTCATGCTGATTTCGAATCGGTACTCATTGAATCCACCGCGAATGGCAAAGAAACGTTGCGTCACCAGACCGCTATTGCAAATTCGCATTTCAATCTCGACACCCACACGTTGCAGGCAATAGTTCAATCCGTACGCCTTGATGAGTACTTCCGAGTCGTTGACGAGTTCAAATTGCCATTGTTGCCGATCGTCATTGTTGCACCTGGCCGTATAGACGTGATAGGGGTTGCAGGGTCTTGTATCGAGACCGTACCAGCATTTGCCTGCGAGAGCAATGGTTTGATTATCGAATATCAGAAACAATCTCAAGTTCAAGGGAGCAACTCATACTCTTCTTCTTATCCACTCACCTCGTCCTGGGTAGCCATTATAGTCGCGCATGACGCACCCTGCGGTACAAGATAGAAGATAGATATTATGAAAAAAAGAAGTGAGTCTACACTCTATGCCCCCTGCCCATCCAATGAAGTAAACGTACATTTGCGTTCAATGGTTTCATCTTGCCAACTGAGGATTACAGGAGGGAGGGAGCGTGAGTTTGACAGCCGCGTCAAACATCACTCGTAGAATGACGACAGTCTTCCCTCTGAAGACCACTTACGTGTACCCCTCTTCCCAGTACATCTTGAGATGGAAGGGATTGGTTAGTGAACCTCCCCCTGCGTCCTGTTCTTCTGAGTAGTCTTCCAGGTTGTGCGGGTCAAAGCAAAAGTCTTCTGGGCTGTTGATATTACCAGAGCAACCCTGGGGAATGGGCTCGCCTCTGCACAAAGAAACGAATGTGTGAGTGATGTGAAGCAACGTCGCCATCAGATTCCACATCCAATCGATCGCATGTCAACAGGGCGACGACGAACTTACGAGTTCCGCTGGTAGCATATCAAGCCGCTCTGACAGTCCGAGTCTGTGTTACTACATTGCCAAACAAAAAAATAGAAGCAGAAGATTGAGCCAACCCGGGGCAATGCAATTGAAAATTCCACCGGCGGATTCTGTTTCAACTCACCAATCACCTTGACAGACTCCCATAGCTGGGCCACTCGGTGTTGGAGCTGGAGCAGCTGGTGTTGGAGCTGGAGCAGCTGGTGTTGGAGCTGGAGCAGCTGGTGTTGGAGCTGGAGCAGCTTGAGTAGGAGCTGGGACACACACATCGATTTGCGTGCCCCGATTCAAGCTTGGGCATTCCGGTGGAATCGGGTCCCCTCTACTTCTCTGGAAGCAGACGAGCCCATTCTGACAGTCCGAATCACCGTCACTGAAGGAATAGAAAGAAAACGGAAAGAGCCGTGACATTAGCTAGCCATCTTGACGGCACCTTGGATGGAATATCTTTACATCACTTACCAGTCTCCATCGCAGAGACCCATGCTACCACCATTCCTCGCGGAGGCACGAGCAGAAGGGGGCGACGGATTGCTTATTGTTGTAGTTCCTGTTCCTGTTCCTGTTCCGCCTACTGGGATACAAAAATCTGTTCCCGCATTGTAACTCTCCCCGCCGTCGCAACCTGGAACAGGATCGTGGGCATTTCGCTTGAAGCAGCGCAGCCCCTTGTCACATTCGCCGTCGTTGTCACAGTCGCCTTCGTGTGGCAAACCAACAAAAAAGCTTTGTTATCATGTACGTTTTCGCTAGACAAGCGAAACTTGAACATCCGACCAACACCTTACCTTGGCACAACCCAAGGGGAATGAATTGACTGGCGGGGCGCCCGCCAAGACCAACAAGGCTCTGAAGTTTTCGCTTCTCCTTGGGAACGACTATTGCCTTTGGTAGTGCCTCAGCGCTAGTTTCATTGGACGCTCTTGTCAGTATCGGTTCCCCGAGTTTTGATACAGCAATATTGGATTGATGAAATAGAGCCACCAGCCAAAGTATTCTTGCCAAACCCTTCATCTTCAAAGCACAACAAATTGCAAAAGTGAGAAAAAGTGAGATTTGGATGTGAAGTCTCGAGATCTGAGCCAAAATACGCGGAAGCGGTGGCGGTTAATGTGATGTAACTGTCACACAACAGAAAGTCTAAGTATTTATCAACAGAATATGGCGCAATTTATCACTTAGAGTCACGTCAACGGTCACATTCAAGGCGCGGCGCCTCTGCAGGTACCACTGTAAAGGTAGCAGAGATCTTCTGAGATGAAGAAGACCACCGGTGTGCCACCGGTAGCTCCACCGGTACAGTACTACTATGTAGTACATGTACCACCAGTTCCGGCACTGGTACCGGAACATGATAAGATGATGCTGATGGGTTTGCAGACGTATGCATAGTACCAGGTAGTGGTATTTGAGAAGCCTCATGCAGACTGTACCACTCCGTTGCAGGACAGGAAAGTGTAATGGATATTGAACGGCACCGGTACTAGTACTGTACCATGGTGCTGCAAGGCGCCGTGCTATCTTTATGCATATCTACTAACCGTCTTGTTGGATATGCATTCGAGATTATATATGATACGATTGGGGAACAGAAATAATGGGAGAGTGGTGCGCGTTGAAATGCACCAGCCTAGAACTGCTGAATCCTTCGAAGTGAACTGAGGTGAAAGGATCAGCGGTATGTGTATGTAAAAAGTCTTGTCACCCGGACTCATAATCAGCATGAGCAAGCAGTAGTTCTTTGCCTGGCGAGTTTGGATCTGTTGTCTACGGGCATTGCTTTGCCTAGTAGAGCCTGCCTCGATTACAGATTCTACAGCAGAGGACAGTTCTCAAAGGCCTATACGCTAGACTAACCTACCGTGGTACTGTGGTACACGTACGGTGGTATGAGAGCTTTGACGGAGGAACATGCAAACGCCTTCGTTGCTGACCTCTACTACTATCGCATAACCTGAGTGGTGATTGCTAAATGCATAAGATCTCAAAGAATGTTTTATGCTAATAAGTTGATTTTTACTGTTTTATTCTCACTGATATGCAACATTTATATAAAGCTCCAAGGAGCAATGGATTGAGTCGAGTTCGATTCTACCAACTCTGTTGTCTACGCCTTTTCCCAAAACGATGTCAAGGAATCCCTCGCACGTGTCTGCCAGCATGGCATCATTTGGACGTATTCGGAGTTCTTGGGATGATGATCTTGATTGAGACAGAGACCGGGAGCCGTTCGTTGGCTGAGTTCAAAGCGACGGCAGTTGTAGCATCCATTGGGGGTATAAAATCTTTGGCTGGGACTGTTGTTGTTACAGGTTCGAAGTTCAATGTTCGTCCCCGAACGAGCCAAGCAACGGTTGGTACCACTTCCCTTGATGAGGGCTTCTCCATTTCCCACATGGACGAATTGCCAGCTTTGGCCACTGGTGCTTCCACATCGAGTCACGTAGACCCGATTGGCGCGGCATGTGGTCGGAGTAATGCCATCCCAGCACATTCCTCCAACGCGGTAGTTTCGTACCAGGCACCCTTTGAAGCAAGCAAGTTTCAAAAGAGAAAGATGTGAGAAGTGCTTCTAGGTGCAGCTCGTGTTTGATAGGGTACGTTGCAAGCTACTCACATTTACGTTCGACGTATTCATCTTGCCAGTCATATCTATCGTGCAATGAAAGGCGAAACAATGTCAGACAAGCACGAGGGCAACAAAACACAGGATTTGCTTCGTCTAAAGGCACGTACCCTTGTTCCCAGTAGATCTTGAGTCGGAATGATCCAGAGGTAGTACCACCTCCAGTTCCAGTGGATACTGTAGCACCTCCTCCAGCTCCAGTACTACCACCACCTCCTCCAGCGCCAGGACTGACGCAGTAATCGCGAGAAGTTCCCAAGCTCTTTCCGGAACACCCCGGTACCGGGTCACCGACGCCGCGTTGATGACAAACGAGATTGCCATCGCAGTCGCGATTGCTATCGCAGTCTCCCCGACAACGTCCCAACAATGTTCGACGAACAGGACTAACGCGTGAGGATCCCACCACGTTGGCGTACTTTTTGGATACACACACGCTATTGGTGGTTTCAAGATGCCCATTGTCTTGTTCGGTACATCCCGGGACAATGGGATTGTCGAGATCCCGATGATAACAGAACAGTCCTTCGCCACAGTCGGACGACGTGTCACAATCCCCGTAGCATTCTTTGATTTGGTCAAAAAAGGGAGCCACACCGTCCGTCGTCGTCACATTTGTGTATTCCAGTTGTAGTGCTTGTTGTTCTACGGCTTCCCAGGTTGGCGTGTCTTCCAATAGCTCTCGCTTTCGGAGATGCAGCTCGGTGGCATGGCATGTACTACTATGTGAGAGCAAGCTCAGTGCCACTGAAATCAATGTGTATCGCATCATCATACTTTTGTTCTTGTGAGAAAGCTTTCCTTGCAAACTTGAGCAGAGTTGGAATTGTGAGAATATTTTGTTGGGAAATCGAGAGGAAAAGTGAGCAGTTTTTCGTTGCTTCCAGGAAAGGCAACCGATGCCAACCGTGACCATAAGTATCTTTGTCTGTTGCCAATTTACTTAGTCATTTTACGTGCCAATATTAACAGTAGACGTTAGAAGTGTCACAAAGGGATGTCACGAGCTTGTCACGTTTGGACGCAAAGTTGATCGCTTGCATCCTTCTCGCCTGGTGGTCCACTCCCTTCTCAAGAGGACAGGTTGAAGACTTCCAGCTTGCTTCATTTTCCATCCCTCTTTCCACCATGGCCTGTGCTCATCGCAGTCTCGTTCGATTACCACTGGATGTCTACACTGGCTTGATTTCAGAAGAACGAAGCCATGACACTCCTTGCTCACCCGAAGAATTGCGTCGTCAAATGTGTGCCAAACTGAAAAAGTTTGCGTCTCCACACTACAAAAATAATACGAGAGGCAACAACTATTTTGAGAGCGTCACGACGGTGGGTCACTTGTTGACGCGTACGACCCCCTGGACACTGCTAAAAATTCTGGACCCACTCTTGACCATGGAGGAAGTCCAGTTGTTTTTGCATCGTGTGGCCAAGGTCTGTTGTCCTCCACCGCAAACAGCATTGGAGTTACTACAACAGTCACAACAACATGCAAATGCCAAGTATTTGCCCACGGGATGGACGGCTCTGGACAACTGTTTGCGCGGAGGAATTCGGATTGGCAGTCTGACGGAATTTTGTGGCCGCGCCGGAGCCGGAAAGACGCAATTGGCCATGCAACTCTGTGTCACGGCAGCCGCACGGTGTGGTCAAGGCACTGTCTATTTGGATACGGAACAGAAATTGAGTTTGACGCGATTGCAAGAAATTGTGCAGCATCAACATGGAAATGGACAGTTACGCAAACGGCCACGTACTCATGAGTATGATGATGGTACTACTACAAATATGGAGCCAACCACCGTCGCAGAACAACAACAACAAGTCCTCGACAATGTGACTGTCCTGTCCCCTACTACGATGCCCGATCTCATGACGGCATTACTCCAAATCGAGGAGCTCGTCCTCGATGCACAACACGACAATAGCAATAAACTCCCCATTGGACTCGTCATTGTCGACAGTATTGCGGCACCCGCCAAGCGAGGCGCCGAATCGGCACCGGAACGTGCAGCGGCGCTCTTTCAGTGTGCCCAACGATTGAAACAAATGGCGGATCAACTCCAACTAGCCATTTTGGTCGTCAATCAAGTCGCGCTCGAACGCAGCAGCTTTGGAGGAGGAGTGCGGGTCAAGGCGGCTCTGGGGACATCCTGGCGTCATTGTGTCTCAACCCGCATCATGATGGAACAACAACAACAATTGGAAGCACAACCACAACAACAATCGGGGAGTCCGTTTGTCCGGGAGACTGCACGAACCGCTACCATTGTCAAGAGCAATCTGGTGGGATTGCAGAGTGTCAAATATCAAATAGTGGGTGCTGGAGTGGTGGATGCTGTGGAACCTCCTGTGGCACGCATTCCAGTGGTCGAACCGTGATGAGATCCTCTTTTCAAAAGTTTGCATAGTGAGTATCGACGTGCTCTTGCTCCCAAGCAACCCCAACCCCACCGAAAGAAGCTAGCTATCGATAGGCACAAGCGTGATTCTTTGTCACAAAGAGTAAGAAGGGAGTCTAGAGTACCCGTGGGGATTTCATCTACTCTAGCTACAATACTAATCATTTCCTACGGTATGTTCTGTAGCAGTAACCGAGTGAAACCACAGAGGTACACACTTTAGACAAGTCTTCTGGACATATGTTGTCTCTAACGTATTCTTGCACGGCAGAACACCCCGATTCAGCAGCAGCACTAGCAAGTAGACTTGCATTGCAAGGGCAGCCATTCTCGAGAGCAAATTTCAAAATATCCAAATGCCCGCCCTTAGCAGCATTAGGACATGTCCTATTATCCCAGGGGCAACCATTCTCGTGAGCCCATTTCAACATTTTGAAATGACCATTGCGAGCCGCCTGAAAGCAGATAGCTCCTGTCCAGGGACATCCACTCTCTCTGGCCCACTTCAAGATCTCAAAATGTCCTCCTTCAGCAGCAGCAGAGCAAGTGTTCTGATCCCATTGGCAGCCATTCTCTCTTGCCCATTTCAATATATCAAAATGGCCATTCCGGGCAGCGTGCTCACACACACGTTGTTCATACCAGCGACAGCCGTTGGCCCTGGCCCACTTTAAAATCTCAAAATGTCCTTGTTCAGCAGCGGCAGTGCACACACCTGAATCCCAGGGACAGCCATTGGCTCTGGCCCATTTCAACATTTTGAAATCACCATTGTGAGCAGCAATTTCACATGTCATTTTATCCCAGGGGCATCCCTTCTCTCTTGCCCATTTCAAAATGTTGAAATCTCCATAGGCAGTGGCACAATAGCAAGTAAGGTCATCCCAAGGGCGGCCATTTTCATGGGCCCACTTTAAAATCTCAAAATGACCCTCTGTAGCAGCAGCCTCACATGTGCCTGCATCCCATGGACATCCATTGGCTCTGGCCCATTTCAGCATCTTGATGTTTCCGAGATGGGCAGCTGCACGACAAACATCTGCATTCCACGGGCATCCATTTTCTCGAGCCCATTTCAACATATCAAGGTTATTCGCATAAGCGGCATTTGCGCATGTGTCTTCATCCAATGGATATCCTTCTCGGTGGGCATATTGAAGAACGGGAATACTCCCGTATTTGGCAATGGTTTCACAAACTGCACGTAGGACAGGAGTTTTGTGGTCGGAATTGTCTCTGCTCCAATATTCTACACGTGGTATATTGCAGAATACTGCGGAATAGACCGTATCTGTACTGATTGCCGTGCGAACGGCAGAAAAAGGATAATCAAAGTATGCCCGTACTTTTGGAGGATTTTTCTCTTTGTTACAGTACTGCTTGTAGAGCTTATTCATTTTTTTGTTGACAGCCCCAACAAAGGCATACTCTCCCATGCCCACAAGGGAAAAAATGTTGTCGGTCCAAATATCATCGTGTTGCAGCAATGCAGAAAACGGAAGTTGACCAAATGACTCGGTGATTCGATGCATGGCACGTGGCTTCTCAACCATTGCTGGATGCTCTCCAATTTTTGCCATTTTCCTGAGGGGCATTGTTGCACTTGGAGAGCCATCATCAAACAGCTCGGGACTGGGGGTGCGCTTGTGCGTAGATACCATGAGGATGCTTGGCGGGTCAACAGTCAGAGCTGGTTTCTAGGGAAGGTCGTAAGACGTCATGATGTTTCCCTACTAACTCTTCCTGTACATGTAGCTGGGCATTGCGATTTATGATTATAAGGTTTGGTTACTCTGTCTGGCTGCTGGCTGTTGTCAGGGTGGACTGTGGATGAAGTGGAAGCAAGAGATGGAGCGAGGGCAGCATTGCATTGGCGTCGCCTTGATGATGGCTTGGAGGGGGGCAAACGGTTGAAGCCAACCCCAGGAGCAATATGTACTTCTAGCTGTCGCACATATACGGCGAGGTTTATATGATATTCGTTTTGTTTATAATTATGGGTAGGCGCGCTGAGAACCGATCCCTTTGCAAGAATATTTGCACCAAAAGGCGTCCACGGTAATCTGTGCACTCTCGACTGAAATCAAATCAATCCCGTAGATGAAGCAAAAGCCAGAAACATCCACCATGACCATGAACTTTGCCTCCAAAGACCTTCCCGAATGTTGGGTTGGTACACATGGAAGCTGTTCATCACAAAGAAATGAGATCTCTCACTTCTGTTTCTTCTCCATTACACTCTTGCTCTTCTTGTTGTTGTTGGCTGCTGGCTTACAATCGTCCGCTTTGCTGTGCTTCTTCTTGCGCTTGCGACTCTTCTTCTTCATAGCAGCTACCTTGCTGTCATTACTCACGGCATCGAACTGGTCAACCAATACCGCACGGACGAATTCAAGCTCTTCGCCATCGTTGTTAATTTCCTTGACACGTGGTTGGGTCTCGAGCCCTTGGTTTTCGACCGTCTCGTTGCCTCCAGAAGTAGGCAATGAAGCAAACGCGGGGACTTCAGCTGATGCTGCAACAGGGACCAAGGAAGCAACAGAAGGGGCAACGACCGAAGCAGCGACCAAAGAGGCTTCAGGAGACGGGACTACGGCTGGGCGCTTCTTGTCTTCATCATCCCTGACATTCGAAAGGTCAACTGTAGTGCCACTCATCTCGTAGTCAGAAGGGGGAGACATCGCAATTTCATCGAGATAACGGGCGTTGAATTCTTCGAAAGTGAAATCACTTGCCATCATGAGTTCATTCACAGTGAAGCAATTCATGTAACGGTCCACCAAAGGCCAGAACTGCCACTTGCCACCGCTGCGACCGCTTGCCACACAGAAATCAATCATCAAACACTTGTCGTTGATGATCTTGTTGAACACGAGCCTCATTGCATCCCTGTTGCTAAATACCAAATCGTTGGAATCGGAGGTTGCATCCGCGTAGCGGGGTCTCACTATGGAACAAAAAGAGCATTGGCATTGGCGACTGAACAGAACAATTACACAACAATCAACCACAGAATACGTACCATCCTCGCTAAGCCACTCCTCATCAGTTTGAGGAAAGGGGTATCCACCGTACCCAATAAGAGTTGGGCTACCACGACAAAACGCGTTGAACCAATCGTGAACGGTGAATCCTCGGACCTCAGAACACAACCAGTCCAGCTTTTCCTGGGGGACGCCACGAGTGTTGCGTAGGATCCACTCAAACCTTTGGAGCTTCGTGGCATGGGACCAAAAGTGCTTCTCTCCGGACTCCCAGCTTTCGTCATCCCTACGCTTGACCTCCAGATTCGTAGGTCCCTGCAAATGCGAAACGGCAGCTTCTTGGTTGCGAAGCCAATCGTCCATACGGGGAGCGCGCATCATGGTTGAATGTCTTATTGGTTGATGAAAGAGAATTGAATCGAAAGCTATTAGGTCAGAGTCAACTCTGCAATTGTTGGCTATGAACTGATTATGACAGAATCGATTGTCCTTTGCTTTTCCTGTTCGTTGGAGACTCATTTCGGAGCATCAAAATGCTCGCCAGAACATTTCTTGAGTATTGATCCATTACAAATATTTCGTCTCAGACGCCAATGACGATCGGAGAACAACAAATTTTGCTTGCTACCAAAACTGCATTGGATGTTTCTTCTCCGATCAACACAGTTTGATATTTTGGATTGAATTATGTTCCGAATTTCTATCATTAGTTAGTTTTGTTCTGCTACGTATAAGATCAAATGATGCGACAGAGTGAATTACAATACGTAGCGATTTATTCTTTTTAGCTACATTATTGTTCCTCAGTCAACGTTAAAGTGGTCAAGAATGCCAATATCTTCTTCGAAAAACCCATCGTTGAACGCATCATAACCATCCATTGCATCCGCTACGTTGAATGAAGCCGCAGATAAGTCATCCAGCTGGTCTCCTTCCATGAACTCTGCCTCCTTCCCTTCATTTGTACTGTTTTGTCGAATCCGATAAGCAATGGGATCTTCGAAGAAATCTTCAATCACCACCGAAATCAGTCGACCGTGAGGTACTTTTCCATTCTCTTTGCAATCGTTGAGGATTCCGAGGTATTGTGCGGTATCACGCAACATTGGATATGTCAGAGACAGAAGGAAGTCTTTGTCGGATCGAAGCATTTTCGGTGCTTTCCGACGTTTGCCAATCACGGTAGCACGACCGCTGATGTACATCTCGTGTTTGGATCCTCGAGCTAAAGCCTTGGCAACCATACCTCTCGAATTGCATTTCACTTTCCTCTTGTTCTCGAGTGTACCATCCAGCAGACCGTTCTTGCTTCTCAAATAAGAAGCTCCCGGACAACCATAGCCACAATGCTTCCAACAATCAATGCAGTCACCAACAATGTTTCCATCCTTCCTCTCCAATCGACAAATAAATCGCGTCGCAACCACCATTCTTTTTGCAGCCTTCCAGTAGACGTCACCGTGATTTCCTCCTTTTGCCTCGTTGTTTGCTTTGGCTGCTTCTTCTTTGTCTGTTTGGTCTAAGAAATAATTCGTGTTGCCTTGCAATGCACAATCGCGGTCTCGTCTGCGTGTTTTCGATAATGGAATCCCAATGCATCTTCCACAGTTTGCCAACCAATAACACTCCCCTTCAACTGACTTACATTCCCAGAGATCAACAGCCGAATCGAAGAATGCTGTGACAGAGACCATCAATCTGGAAACGTCTCGTGGATACTCCATTGTGCATGGGTCTCGTCCATTACTCTCCAAGTTCGAAAACAGTTTCGGAAGTGTTTCGATCACGTAGCCTTCTGTTGAAACGTTCGCCCTGATTGAGTACTTGGCTCCTTTCTTTATTCCGTGATGCATGTTGCTTTCCATGGCACAGTTGCTTGGATACAGCATCTGTTCCCCTGTCGTGGCGTAATTCCAGCAGTTGTAGGGCGACGAACAGTAAGAACGATAGAAGAGATCCGCCGCGGACGATTCTCCACGACAAATCCAATCAAGAAGTACCAGATACGTCACAGCCGTCTTTTGTTCCTCTGTTCTGCATCGATGAATCCAGTGGATCATGTGATAAGCACGCGGATAGTTAGTTTTGTTGCTTTCTTTTCCTCTTGCAAGAGACAATCCGCGATTCTTTTTCGAACTCTTTTTCGCAGATGGATCGTCTTTAGAGGCGAAGTCACGATCTTCGAATAGCTTGACAAAGCTGTTTTTTTGTCGAAAGTGCTGGACAACGTGGAAGTAACAGAGAGTAACACCAGTGGTAGGTTGGAAAAGCATCGATGGATCTCGCAGTATGTCAAACAAGGTAGTATCTTTCACTCTGTTTGGGCGAGTGAATGTCGGGTACCCCCCAGTAATCAGTTCCACCGAAGCTAAAACTTTCTTTCGACTGGAGGCAGCTGGTTTCTTGTCATCGCTACAATCCAAGACGACAGATACAGTTGATTCTGGGTCTGGAATAGGTTCGTCTTGAGTAAGTTGTGTAATGATTGCTGGTACATTGTGAGTTGGTTCTGTGTTGGTAGGACGTACGATTGAAGATAGGTTCTGCGCGGAAGAAATGGAATCTTTTTGATACCATGAGATGCTTTGTCCATTCCATGATTCGTCGCATACGTCCGGCCATAGTCGGAAGTGTCTGTGAGCCGTGACAAAAGATGCCGAATGATCGGACGTTCCACAGTCAATTTCGAACACAGTCCCAAAGAGCTGCATGGATAGCTCTCGCAAGTAGTACAAATGCATCAGATATGGTTGTATTGCCTCTGCTCCTTTCAGAAAGCTTAATGGACGCAATGAGGAAGTGACTTTCCCTTGATCGTCTCTGAACTTTTGAGACAGACCACCACTGATGATGGTGGGAGCTAAGTCCTGACTGATGCCTCCCGTACCATCAGAGCATAGCTGCTTGGTTCCCTTTCGTCTCAAAGTGAAATGCATTAGCTGCCACAGAGTAGTGACGGAAACAGCAAAGAAGCATTGCTCCACTCTTCTTTCGAAATGACGGAGGGCACTTTCTTTTGTTCCCACAAGACGTGACCGATATAAGTCATGCATTTTTCCTTGCGACAGATTGAATAGAAACATATGCCCCGATTCCGGTCCGGGAACACGTAAAGCTTCCGACAGTTGATCTGCTGATGAATAGTCGCATCTGGGGATGTAGCCATACGGGAGAATGAATCGGTACAAAGACAACACCCTTGAGAGTGCATCGTTGTCGAGAATGCGGTCTGTTCCGATTGTTCGCTTGATGTAATTGCGTTTGAGGACACGTAGGAAATTTGTAATTTGATTGGAAATGTGATATCTCTTCGTCGTTGAATCAACCAAGTGACAATAGCTAGTGTGATTCTGGTATATTGTGGACACAACAAAGTCCAAGATCTCTTTTGGTGCAACCTCCAAGGCAGTTCGGCGAGACACCTGCCATTGTTGGGACACGTATGAATGGGCAAGCTCTTTGATGAATGGAGGCAAACCAAACTGATCTGAATGGTGGGGAGGTACTTTTGAAATAGAATGATTGTGGAAGCTACTTCCGGTGATATAGATGACATAAACGCTTTCATAAGTTGCGTCGGAGCATTTCATTTCTCGTATCTGAGCCCTCCAACGACAGTTCTCCACTGTGCACTTGTAGCGATAAGCTCGAGTCCGATTTTCTTTCTCTATCTTTTTGCCACCGAGCCAGCAAGAACCACCCGAAATGACCAGCTTATAAGGTCCGAAAAAACCACCATGCAGGCTATCAAGGTGACTATAAGCTTCATTGAATGAGGAACACACTTTGGCTTTCGGATCAGCATAATAGTTGTTGGGATTTGCAATAATCGTTCCACCGTTATGATGAAGCAGTTGCATGCCACCGTACGGGATTACACCATGGACGTTTGCAGGACCAATAGCGTGCGATCTGTTTTCTGTCATGGTCGAACCTATTCCATTAGACTATTGCTTGGCTACAACAATAGCCAAGATCACGACATACCCCGGTTCCAAGCAAAGGAGAGTTTCAGAAGGCCCGCCATCTCCAACAACAGAATATTCCCCAAGAAGGAAAATCCAAATTATCGAAATGTAGTTAGACATTCTGGAACATTCCGCGGAAAGCACAATTGCACGAGGAAGACAGATCGTTTCGAGAGGCTGTCGACTCCGGTTCAAAGGTGTCTAATAGAGACAATATTTGGCTTGGTTCAAATGATGGCGAGAGTTCAAATGATGGCGCACAAGAGCATGATGCACCAGGTATCAAAGTAAACTAGCGCGAAGCTCCATTTTGAATCAGAGTTGAGTTGATAGTGTACCAAAAGCCCCGCCAGAACTACCATCAATCGTCTGGAACCAACCATCAACAGCAACAGAATGAACCTTCGTCAATGCAATCGACAACAAGAGAATGGTGCGTCTATGGAGGGAAACAGCGGGTAGGTTGGACAGCTTCCATATACGGGAACCCTGCACGGAGGGGCCGATTTGAAGTCCATTTGCCATTCGGTGGGGCAAGGAACCATGGTCATGAAGAACATTTCGGGCAGTTGCATCACCTGAAGACATCCGTTTGACTCCACTGTTGAAGGCAAAGAAGCACGAATGAGGAACCGTGGTAAGTTGTATCCGGGAATCAGCAATCACGAATTCTTAGCGCGCTCACCCCTCTTCTCTTTTTTGCGATCCGAACAGGCAAGGCAAGCCAGCCATCATGTGCAAAGCTGCAAGTTCACGGGGCTCCAACGCCAGTGACGATGCAGTTAGGTGTATCCGTCCGGGGTATGGGGCAACTCTCGGACTCCATTTACAGCTTTCGTTACAAGCACTTGTTGAGCGTGGGTGTGTTTTCCGGTTCTCCCATACCCCAGCAATCAAGACTTTGCAACAATAATCTTCGAATGCCCCCGAGACACCCCAATGCGGAAAAAGGAATTTCGTCTCCTGGAGACGATTTGCTTTAGGGGTAATGGTACCGATGGGGGCAGAGGTTTGAATTATACCCGGCGCGCATTACTTAGAAGGCCCTGTAGAAGTCTACGTATTCGACTAGTATTGTATTGACGGGATACAGTCAACGCATGTACATGCACATGAAAGTCGCCTTGCGTTCTTCACATTTTAAAAGTTGGTTCCTAATTTTTTGGGGTCACCTGTGATTTGATTGGACGCTTGATCTTTTTTCAATGACTGACATTGAATGACGTACGAGGTGCAATGCGAATCTCAGAAAGGTAGTTGTAGTAATAAAAGTTTTTATATATAGATTAATT